TTTTGTATTTTTAGTAGAGACGGGGTTTCACCATGTTGACCAGGATGGTCTCAATCTCTTGACCTCGTGATCCACCCGCCTCGGCCTCCCAAAGTGCTGGGATTACAGGCTTGAGCCACCGCACCCGGCCTCACCTGAATAATTTTTGTATTTTTTATAGGGATAGGGTGTCACCATATTGCCCAGGTTGGTCTTAAACTCCTAGGCTCAAGCAGTCCTCCTACCTAGGTCTCCCTAAATCCTAGGTTTTTGGCATGAGCCACTGCATCTGGTCTTGATATTCTAAGTTACATAAAATTGTGAACACTAGAGATTTGGTAGGTTTTGCTATAGGTGTAGTTGCAAATAAAGATTTAGAATGTTTTGTTTTAATGTATACACTGCTTCCAAATGATAATAAGCCTATTTATATACAGTTAGTTATCAACAGATATATCATACTCTTAACATTTTTTAATTTAAAATTCTAAAAGGCCTGGGCATGGTAGCTCATGCCTATAATCCCAGCACTTTGGGAGGCCAAGGCAGTGGAATTGCTTGAGCTCAGGAGTTGAAGAGCAGCCCGGGAAACATAGTGAATCCTCGTCTCTATCAAAAAAAAAAAAAAAATTAGCCAGGCATGGTGGTGCATACTTGTAGTCCCACCTACTCAGGAGGTAGAGGTGGGAGGATTGCTTAAGCCCACAAGTTCAAGGTTGCAGTTAGCTATGATTGCGTCACTGCCTTGCAGCTTGGGAAACAGCTAGACCCTGTCTCAAAAAAAAAAAAAAGAAATTCCAAAAGGGAGACTGAAAAATGTGTGTTTATAATATCAGCATGCATTAAATTACATGTTGATATATCACCTGTTCATTATAAGGCTACTTATATGACATTTCTGGACACATATTACTTCTAAAAAAATACTCAATGTTATTTTGCTCATCCTTCAGAAGTTAAGGAAAGATACACAGCTAGGGTAAAACAAAATCTATTTTGGTTTTAAACTGTCATTGCTGTTGACATCTGTTAAGAATTGGTAATCAGTTTTGCTTTGTGATATGTGTTTTCCATGAAAGGTCATTTTTAACTGCAAAGTTGTATATTTAAATGTGATTTATAGAACTTTTCCCTATAACTAAATGGCCAATTACAGGCATATTAATATCTTAGAGTTATGGAAGTTTAATCATAGTTATTCTTCATAGATGTACAATCTGCTTATATGTGATCTTGCTACGTTGGTAAGTACTATTACATAGTAATGGAGAAAATATACAAGTTTAAGACTTTAGTCAAAAATAATCATATATGGCTCTTTAGTAGGTCGTCTACAGTAAGGCCTATGTTAATCTATGTATTGCACGCTATTAAAAGAAATGTCGTTTCTCAGAAAAACATCTATTGTAGAAAAGAGTTCATTATATACGTGTTTGTGTTTTGTGTGTTTTTTTTTGTTTGTTTTTGTTTTTTTTTTGGGAGATGGAGTTTCGCTCTTGTTGCCCAGGCTGTAGTAATGCAGTGGTGCAGTCTCAGCTCACTGCAACCTCTGCCTCCTGGAGCAACTCTCCTGCCTCAGCCTCCTGAGTAGCTGGGATTACAGGCGCCCACCACCAGGCCTCGCTAATTTTCTGTATTTTTAGTAGAGATGGGGTTTTACCGCGTTGGTCAGGCTAGTCTCGAACTTGTGGCCTCAGGTAATCCACTGGGCCCAGCCTTTTCAGCCTTTTTTTTTTTTTTTTTTTTTTGAGACAGTGTCTCACTCCCTCATCCAGGCTGGAGTTCAGTGGTGCAATCTTGGCTCACTCCAACTTCTGCCAGTAGGTTCAAGTAATTCTCCTGTCTCAGCCTCCCAAGTAGCTGGGATTACAGGTGTGTGCCATGACACCTGGCTAATTTTTGCATTTTTAGTAGAGATGCAGTTTCACCATGTTGGCCAGGCTGGTCTCGAACTCCTGACCTCAAGTGATACACCTGCGTCAGCCTTCAAAGTGCTGGGATTACAGTCATGAGCCACTGTGTCTGGCCACATTATATAGTGTTTTTAAGAATTTGAGTTTAGAAAAAGAAAAGGTGAAAATAAAATGTTGCCGAAGATACTGTCTGAGCTGCACCCTAAATGAGACAATACAAGTACTAAAGCAAGGTTTGCTTTAATTCAGGAACAACCAGGAAGCTATATGAGAAGAAGCTTTTGAAACTGAGGGAACAAGGAACAGAATCAAGGTCTTCTACTCCTCTGCCAACAGTTTCTTCTTCAGCAGAAAGTACAAGGCAGAATGGAAGTAATGATTCTGACAGATACAGTGACAATGAAGAAGGTAAAATTGTAAATGATTTAATCAAATGTATGTAATTTTTTCGCATAAAATACAGTGACCATGAAGAAGGTAAAATTTAAAACAATATTGACAAGATATACAATTTTTATTCATTAGAATAATTCTGTAAGTAATTTGATTTAAATACTTTTTATTGAGAAGTCTAAGAAACAACATAGTACAAATTTCTAATTTTCCATCACCTGAAATTGCCAGTTAGCTTATCTTTTTTGCTTCAAATCTCATTTTTCTTTCTTTTTTTTTTTTTTTTCATTTTGCTGAGAGAATAAAATATTGCAAGTAGAGGCAAAGTTTCTTGTACTTACTTGTACCTATTGCCTCCACAGAAGTAACTACTGTTATTAATTCGATGCCTATCTTTCCAGTTTGTTTTTATTTTTTACATACACATTTATCTAATACATGCTATTATTTAGTACTTTAAGAATAAAAGTGTATATAAACAATATGCCAAATCTTACCACTTGCTTTTCCTTACTTTGTTCATATTTTTAAAATCTAATTCTATTAATTATATCTCTTTGTTTATTCCTCATAATTTAATACATAGTGGTAGCATTTAAATATGGCATGTTTTCTCTGGTCTCTATTGATAGACATTTAAATTACGTAGAGTTTTTGTTAATCTGACCTCAAGGCAACTTCAGAGCAAATATTTTGACCATATTCTTAGTAGACTATGGTATCTTAAAATTTGATCATGCTGTTTAAATATTTTTGTGGTACATTAAATAAGTGTTCTTTAAAAATTATAAGTGACCTGGCTCGGTGGCTCATGCCTGTAATCCCAGGACTTTGGGACGCAGAGACCAGTGGATTACCTGAGTTCAGGAGTTTGAGACCAGCCTGGCCAACATGGTGAAACACCGTCTCTACTAAAAATACAAAAATCAGCTAGGCACGGGGGCGCATGCCTGCAATCCCAGCTACTTGGGAGGCTGAGGCAAGAGAATAGCTTGAACCTGGGAGTTGGAAGTTGCAGTGAGCCAAGATTGCACCACTGCATTCCAGCCTAGGCAACAAGAGTAAAACTGTCTCAAAAAAAAAAATTAAAAGTACAGCTTGATTTTTGTAAACTTTTAATTCATATGTCTTGTGATTATTTTGACCCAAATTGTTTATATCTCCATAAGCATTGTCTATCAGGGCATATCTGCCAGCTTAGTTATTCAGAATATGAAATTATAGTCTTTTCCTTTGACAGCACTATTTTTAGCAAAGAGGCAAAGAATAAAATGAGCTCAAACACAGGTAATGCTTAAACTTCCTGCCTCTTTTGCCTCTACAGGAAAGAAGAAAGAACACAAGAAAGTGAAGTCCACTAGGGATTTTGTTCCTTTTTCTGAACTTGGAACTACTCCCTCTGGTGGTGGATTTTTTCAGGGTATTTCTTTTCCTGAAATCTCCACCCGTCCTCCTTTGGGCAGTACTGAACTACAGGCAGCTAAGAAAGTGCATACTTCTAAGCGAGACCTACCTAGGGAGCCTCTTGTTGCCACAAACTTGCCTGGCAGGGGACAGTTGCAGAAGTTAGCCTCTGAAGGGAATTTGATCATTTCATCCAAGTCTAGCCATGATAGGTGTTTAGAGAAAAGTTCTTCGTCATCTTCTCAGCCTGAACACACTGCCATATTGGTCTCTGCTGCAGCTTCTCCTTCACTGGTTAAAGAAACGACCACTGCTTACTATAAAGACATAGTAGAAAATATATGCGGTAGACAGAAAAGTGGAATTCAATCATTATGTCCTGAGAGGTCCCATATTTCAGATCAGTTGATTCTCTCCAGTAAAAGGAAAGCACTAGAAGAGTCTGAGAGCTCACAACTAATTTCTCCACCACTTGCTCAGGCAATCAGAGATTATGTCAATTCTCTGTTGGTCCAGGATGGGGTAGGTAGTTTGCCTGGGACTTCTAAATCTACACCCCAACTGGATGTAGAAAACATACAGAAGAGAATTGATCAGTCTAAGTTTCAAGAAACTGAATTCCAGTCTCCTCCACGAAAAGTCCCTAGACTGAGTGAGAAGTCAGTGGACGAAAGGGATTCAGGTTCCTTTGTGGCATTTCAGAACGTACCTGGATCTGAACTGATGTCTTCTTCTGCCAAAACTGTTGTCTCTCATTCACTCACTACTTTAGGTCTAGAAATGTGTAAGCAATCACAGCATGATAAAATAGATGCCTCAGAACTCTCTTTTCCCTTCCATGAATCTATTTTAAAAGTAATTGAAGAAGAATGGCAGCAAGTTGATAGGCAGCTGCCTTCACTGGCATGCAAATATCCAGTTTCATCTAGGGAGGCAACACGGATATTATCAGTTCCAAAAGTAGATGATGAAATCCTAGGGTTTATTTCTGAAACCACTCCACCAGCAGGTATTCAAGCAGCCTCCACTGAGTCTTGTGATAAACAGTTCGACTTAGCACTCTGTAGAGCATATGAAGCTGCAGCATCAGCATTGCAGATTGCAACCCACACTGCCTTTGTAGCTAAGGCTATGCAGGCAGACATTAGTCAAGCTGCACAGATTCTTAGCTCAGATCCTAGTTGTACACACCAAGCACTTGGGATTCTGAGCAAAACATATGATGCAGCCTCATATATTTGTGAAGCTGCATTTGATGAGGTGAAGATGGCTGCCCATACCATGGGAAATTCCACTGTAGGTCGTCGATACCTCTGGCTTAAGGATTGCAAAATTAATTTAGCTTCTAAGAATAAGCTGGCTGCTACTCCCTTTAAAGGTGGAACATTATTTGGAGGAGAGGTATACAAAGTAATTAAAAAACGTGGAAATAAGCGCTAATAAAATTAAGACAAAAAGACATCTGATCTTTGATATGGGTAACCCAGAAGCTTTTCTATGAATTTCAGGTACTTTATGCCATCATTTTCTTTTCCATTAAGGTGGTTTTAGTTTCCAGATCAGGGTAATTGCAAAATGTTAAGCTTCTACCCATTAAATTACAATATAAAAGTAATTGCCTGTGTAGAACTACTTTTCTTTTTCACAGATTTGGATAGATAGGAAGGCTGCTATACGATTTAAAGCTTTCTAGATCACATATTAGTCTCTAAATGGTTTTCTATTTCCTGTTTTACTTATGCTTTTACAATTCTCCAAAAAAAGAGAATTCTAATTAGGCTATAAGGAGTCTTTACCATTTAATAGCATAATATGCATCCTGCTTTATACCTAGGACAGAATTAAACATTTGTTACACATTCAGAACAGTGATTTTGTTTTTGATACTTTTATCTCAGTATCTTTTCACTTTCTAAAACTTACCTATATTTTTGCTCATATTTTGTTTGTTATTTACTCATGTGTGCAACATCATTCATATAGTCTAGATCAATGCAACTCAAAATGCCAGTCCACAACCGTTACTGATCCACAGGCAAGATAAGCATGCAGAAGAATTTAAAACTAGAGATACTTTTTAGGTCAGTTATCTTTTCATTAACTGATAACAATCAATTCATGGACCAGTACCAATCCATGGACCACACGTTGAGAAACACTACTTTGGATAGTAGTAGATATCCTGGGATAGTGCATATTCACCATCTATTTTGTCAGATAATGGGGCTTTTAAAAAAAATACTAATAATACTTTGCTTTCACAATGCATTGTATTTTGTGGAAGTTAAGTTTAACAATACAAAATCTAAAAGCAAATTTAATTTTTTTAAGCCATAAGAAATATTATATTCCAGTATCCGTGTATCTGTATAAAGCAGTGTATTATCTTTTCATTTCTATGATTGTAAGATAATAGTCTAACTGTAGAGGTATTGTGGAAAATAGTAGCCTTAAGTATAACAAAATATGGTCTCTTGGGTACTCCCTCTGGCCATTACCACATTCTTAGATTATACGTGTCCATCTTTGCAGCTTTGTGAGAGTAATTTTATTTGTTGTCTTCTGAAATGTACATGTATACATGTACCTACTGAGTGCTATGTGATTTTCTTAAATGTATTACTGTAGAATGCTTCTGCAAATTCAATAAAGTTGTTAAATTTGAACAGTGTTGTGTGGTCTCCAGAAATGTTGTTATGTGTGCTTTATTCTTGGAGTTGCAACAAGTTAAACATTTGCATATGAACACCCCTTTTTCATTTCATCATTGAAACTCACTTTGACATTTCAGTAGTATAATCGAAAATATTCTGATTATTGTATGGTTTTTCTTCTGTTTGAGGACCCATGTTTTTATTGGCTGTTGGAATCTAAATTTATAAGAGGAATTTATCTGTAACCAGATACCTTCTTTGTTTAATCAGTTTCTATTCCACTACTAATGGCTCTTTTTACTTTGTGGTTTCTAATTCTTAGATTCTGAGTTAACAAAGCATAAAATGGATTTTATATTGCTGGGGGTTGTACCAAACAGAGATTTGATAGATCCATTAATAGAAGTGTTGGGAGATGGACTTGAAGTCTTAGTCCTAAATAAAGATTGAACTGTTGAAACAAACAGTAAAAATCACTGTTCCTTTTTGGGGAAACTTGCAAGTATTAAATAGATTCTGGACTAACTAGTATTAATACTGGAAGGTTAGCAAGACACATAGCTGCCTTGACCACTTTTTAGCACAAGTTTATAAAGCTCATGTAAAATTTTAGAATTGATTCCTTTCTGTCTCTTTGATAGGATAGTAATCTAACTTAAATTTTTGGTAGATGTTTTAGAAGTAACAGCTGACTTACTAATTTTGCTATACTATGATAAATGCTACAAAAGGATGTTAACTAAAATCAGTCTTTTCAAAATCTAGATCTTCAAATGATAAATTTAAGACTAGGAGAATGGAATATTGAAGCCTATTAAAAAATACATATTCCTGGGTTGTTAGGTTAATAACTATCATGGTGACAAGTCAAATAATATATTTTCTTCTAAGAAATGTTATTTTTGTTATATGGAATGGGATGAGAAGTGATTTGTGATTGTTTATACTTTTCTGTGAACAAGATTCCTTTACCTCAGTTGTATCTAGGTTTTTTGTAACTACATCAAAAAACCTTTTATACTGTACTTACTAATGTTATGGCAGTTATTTATTGGAAAAGCTTAGTGCTATATGAGGGTTTTTTTGTTTCATTTTTAAAATTTCCCTTCCATGTTCCAATTTTTAATTTAGTAAGCCATCCTTTGCTGTACAGTAGTAGTATACTGTATGAACAAAACAATGGTAACAACTATGTGTTTTAAATGGCCTTTTTCCACATCTAAATTGTTTTTAGTGAAAAGATTTTGTGGGAGCATTTTGAATTCACTTCATGTTCAAAACTATTAGTCCCAGAAAAAGGAAAGGAGAAATAGGAAGAAATGGTCGTCAGGTGAAAGAGGGAGATAAGCAAAAAATGGGATAAATAATGGAAAAGTTTTCAAGACAAATTGCAGTTAGACAATTTTGACTAGTGAGGTATTACCAGTAGACTTGTTTTTTGCCTTTTAATGTGCCTAAAACCAGGGTTCCAGATTAATATTAGGAATACATCATCGTTTATTGTGTGTTTCAGAGAGTAATGGTTTCTCCAATGTTATTTCCAGACTCTAAAATAGAGCTCAAGCTTGAGAAGAGAGAACCACTAAAGGGCAGAGCAAGGACTCCAGTAACACTCAAGCAAAGAAGAGTTGAGCTCAACCAGGTATCTTTAGTTTTATGATCATCGTGTACAAGTATAAATAATCTCCTGACAACATTAATCTGTGTTTTAGCCTTTAAGGGTTGACACCCAGATTCCAGCACGCTAAATAAACTTAATTCTGTTAAATGATATTAGAAATCTAAACTTTGTGAGTTTTGTCAGTAGTGTAGCCTTTGATTACAGCAAAAGCAAGTTTTTAATAAATGTCTCATCTGTGAGTCTGTGCTAAGCATAATTCAAAGGCATTATACTGCGTTTTGAAAGAAATATTTTAAAAGGTGGAAATATCTAGGCACTTTTGACACAGTTTTTTTAAAAGGCAGTGGAAAGGTATTATATTTGTGTCTTCGTCTCTAGATTTCTCACTTTGATTTTATGTTTGCCTGTCTTGTCTTCTGTGATTCTTCCCTAAACTCTGAAGCTAGTCAGGTCCTAAGACCACAGTTTTCTTCCCTTATTTCAGATGAAAATTTACCTTTTTTATTGTGGGAGAGGCAATTCAATTTTTCAAAAGTAAAATGTGAGAAACTAAGGAAAAAATAAGCATAGGTGTAAATGAACAGAGAACCAGTTGTTGACTAACCCAGTGTTAATTTGGCTGATGCTTTATAAGACAGCTATTCCTAGAGTCATTTACCCCTACTATATCTAGCTCAAAGATCTGCCTAGTTGGTTATTTATCTTTTCTATCTCCTGTTTGTCTTTTTTTTACTTTCTGAGACAGAGTTTTGCTCTCTTGTCACCCAGGCTGTAGTACAGTGGTGTGATACCTGCTCACTGCAACCTCCGTCCACCACATCCTCCCCCTTCCCTCTGCAAGTGATTCTCCTGTCTTAGCCTCCCCAGTAGCTGGGATTACAGGCACATGCCACCACGCTCAGCTGATCTTTGTATTTTTAGTAGAAATGGTCACCATGTTGACCAGGCTAGTCTTGAACTTCTGACCTCAGGTGATCCATCTGCCTCAGCTTCCCAGAGTGCTAGGATTACAGGTGTGAGCCACCGCACCCAGCCTGTTTGCCATTTTAAAATCAAATCCTTAGAGGAATTCTTGACTCCTTAAGCCAAATCTCTCCCTTCATTTGCTGTAGTTGATAAGTTGAATTTCAGAATGATTTTTTGGAAATGAGCTTGGTGACAAGAAGGTACAGAGCACTGAATGAATGAAGATTTTGTTTAACATAGAACCAAATGCTGGAATACATAGTTTACTGCCCTTTTATGTAGTAGTCCTAACAAAGAGCTTCAGGAGCATGTTGAAGAATAAGGAAATAACAGAACAAGAGCACTTAGGAAAATCTGGTGAAGGACACTGAAATAGACAAGCATGGAAAATTTTAGTCCAGAGTTTGAAGGCAAGATGATATGGTGCTAGCAAGAGTATGTGACTGATCATATAATAGGTTAAAAGAAGGGGAGGGGGCATGGTGTTAAAGATGGTTTAGGTATTAAAGATGGTCTAAGCCGGGCGCATGGCTCACGCCTGTAGTCCCAACACTTTGGGAGGCCTAGATGGGCGGATCACCTGAGGTCAGGAGTTCAAGACCAGCCTGCCCAACATGGCAGGTGCCTGTAATCCCAGCTACTTGGGAGGCTGAGGCAGAAGAATCGCTTGAACCTAGGAGGTGGAGCTTACAGTGAGCCAAGATAGCCCCACAGTACTCCAGTCTGTGTGACAAGCTAAAACTCCATCTCAAAAATAAGTAAATAAATAAATAAAATAAAGATGGTCTAAGGGATAATTGAGTTGGGGGAATCTAAACTGAGGGGCAGAATAAATAGTCACATGAGTGTTGGTTTAGATGACAGGCAGAATTAGACAGTGGCTTTAATGCAGAAAATTTTAAACATGTAGAAGAGTGGAGGGAAGAGTTAATGACCCTCCAGTTACAGCTGTGCCACAGTTGTCAGTGTTTCACCAGTTTTGTTTCATCACCTTACACCCTCCAGCTTTAATTACTTTTTTTTTTTTTTTTTTGAGATGGAGTCTCCCTCTGTTGCCCAGGCTAGAGAACAATGGTGAGATCTCAGCTCACTTGGAACCTCTGCCTCCCAGGTTTAAGCAATTCTCCTGCCTCAGCCTCCACTTAGCTCGGATTGCAGGCATGCGCCACCACATCTGGCTAGTTTTTGTATTTTTATTAGAGATGGGGTTTCACCACGTTGGCCAAGCTGATCTCAAAAACTCCTGACCTCAAATGATTCATGTGCCTTGGCTTCCCAAAGTGCTAAGATTATAGGCATGAGCCACCGTGCCCTATCTTAAATTGCTTTTGATTATTTTGTTTTGCTTTTTCCTGGAATATATTAATCTCTGACATACTGTTTCACACATTAAAAAGTCAGTATTTTAGCATATATCTCTGAAAGTGCTCTTCCAGTGACTGTCAATATCACACCTAATAAAATTATTCATATATAATTCATGTTCAAATTTCTCTAGTTTCATAAATGTGTCATTTATGATTATGTTGTTCAAATCAGGATCCACATACCATGTTTGATTTTTAGTTGTTTTAATCTCTCAAGTCTGTAACTCTTAACACCGTAACTGTTCCTCTTCCCTCCATTTATTTGGTGAAGAAACTAGGTCGTTAAAACTAGGTCGTTAGAGAATTTCCCAACATTCTGGATTTGGCACATTGCTTCTTTATGTCATTTAATTTGCTTTTCTCTGTGCTTCATTTCCGTAGAGTGGGTTAGACCTGTAGTGAGCTATGCAGTAGACCTTTCTGTGATAGAAATGTTTTGTATCTGTGCTGTCCATTACAGTAGCCACTAGCTGTTGACTACTTGAATGGTGGCTAGTGTGGCTGAGAAACTTAAGTTTTAATTTTTATTTAAATGGCCACATGTGGCTAGTGGCCTACCATGTTGGATGGCACAGATCCAGAGGGTTATACAGATCCACGTTCAGTTTCTTTCACAAGAATGCTTAATAAATGATGCTGTGGCCTTCCTATTACATTGTTTCAGTAGGTATAGAGCGTCTTTTTGATTATGCCAAAATTAGAATTGGTTTAGATGTCGAAAGTCTAATCCATCCATTATAAAGCTCCACATTGCCCTTTCATTTAGTGGTTCTAACAGCCATTGATTATTGCCTAGGTCTATTTTGTAAGTAAAAGTAAGCTTTAATTACGTTTTTTTTTGAGATGAAGTCTCCCTCAATCAAAAAAATGTTGATTTTTCTCATTCTTTTACTGAGATTCCTCTAGAAAGAATTTTTCCTTATGAACTTCATAGTTTCCTTGAAATAAATTCATACAAGAGAACTAGGAGAAATGCTTTTCCCTTTTGTCAGTTTTCAAATTAAATTATTGATGTCACTTCAAAAGATGATCAATAAAAAAAATTGTGTGTGTCAGGT